ACAGAGGGGTTCATCCCTTTCTATTCTATTCTATTCTACTATCTTCAGAATATGAAATATACAAAATAAATATGCACGCACTTTAGCAGACGGACAGACCGTGTGAAGCTGTGGCAAAGGAAGTGAGAGGGTGGTTCTGTGAGTGAAGAGGAGGTGATGAAGGTCAAACTCAGGAGGAAGCAGGCAGTAAATCCTCTCAATGTGTTCAGAGAGCGCAACGTAACAGAGAGGATGATGGGAAAAAAAGATGACTGAGAAGTACTCAGATCTTGAGGAACAGTAGAAGTACTCAGATCTTGAGTAACAGTAGAAGTACTCAGATCTTGTACTTGAGTAAAAGTAGAAGTACTCAGATCTTGAGTAAAAGTAGAAGTACTCAGATCTTGAGTAACAGTAGAAGTACTCAGATCTTGAGTAAAAGTAGAAGTACTCAGATCTTGAGTAACAGTAGAAGTACTCAGATCTTGTACTTGAGTAAAAGTAGAAGTACTCGGATATTGTACTTGAGTAAAAGTAGAAGTACTCAGATATTGAGTAACAGCAGAAGTACTCAGATCTTGTACTTGAGTAAAAGTAGAAGTACTCAGACCTTGAGTAACAGTAGAAGTACTCAGATCTTGTACTTGAGTAAAAGCAGAAGCACTCGGATCTTGTACTTGAGTAACAGTAGAAGTACTCAGATCTTGAGTAACAGTAGAAGTACTCAGATCTTGTACTTGAGTAACAGTAGAAGTACTCAGATCTTGTACTTGAGTAAAAGTAGAAGTACTCAGTTCTTGTACTTGAGTAAAAGTAGAAGTACTCAGATATTGTACTTGAGTAAAAGTAGAAGTACTCAGATCTTGTACTTGAGTAAAAGTAGAAGTACTCAGATCTTGTAGTAAAAGTAGAAGTACTCAGATCTTGTACTTGAGTAAAAGTAGAAGTACTCAGATCTTGTACTTGAGTAAAAGTAGAAGTACTCAGATCTTGTACTTGAGTGAAAGTAGAAGTACTCAGGTCTAGTGCTTGAGTAAAAGTAGAAGTACTCAGATCTTGTAGTAAAAGTAGAAGTACTCAGATCTTGTACTTGAGTAAAAGTAGAAGTACTCAGATCTTGTTCTTGAGTAAAAGTAGAAGTACTCAGATCTTGTACTTGAGTAAAAGTAGAAGTACTCAGATCTTGTTCTTGAGTAAAAGTAGAAGTACTCAGATCTTGTACTTGAGTAAAAGTAGAAGTACCAGAGTGTAGGAATACTCTGTTACAGTAAAAGTCCTGCATTCAAAATGTTCCTCAAGTGAAAGTATAAAGTATTCTCATCAAAATATAGTGAAAGTAGAGACAGTAAAAGTAGTCATTGTGCAGATTGGTCCATTTCAGAATAATATATATGATATGTTTTATAATGATTGATCATGAAAGTGTTCTCAAAGCTGGTAAAGGTGCAGCTAGTTTGAATGACTTTGTATACTGCAGGGTAGCTTGTGGATTTACTCCAGGTGGAACTGTACTTCCTAAAGTTGCTGAATGTTTCTTCAAGTGTTTGAAGCTGCAGCCTGGTTCCTAATGGAAGTGTTTGTGGCTGTAGACGGCCATCCTAGTATTGCAATATAGAGAGAGGATTTTTAGTTTATGAGCCTCTCCTCATTGAAAAAATGAATGTTCTAGTTTATTTTCTAACTATACTTCATCCTTGCTTCCTTTTTCTGCTTTATTAACTTCTTCAAATGGTCTGAAGGCACGGAAATCATCCATGCAGCAACATGTGGCAAAATAGAGGAGAAGTAGAGAAGAAAGTGATGTGATGTCGGCCGTCAGTTCCTCCCTCGCCCTCCTCAGATCTGAAGCTGCAGCAGGTTTAGTGTTTTGGGCCGTTGTTACGCGTTTGCACGTCAGCCACGGTACTGATCAATTCCTTGTTCAATTTGACCCGAACAGTACCAACATGTGAACATAATAAAGGTTTCACATTCAGTGGACAATGACTATCCAAAAACTATTTTTTACTGTTAAACTTTTAAATGTATCCCCGAGGATTATTTCCCGTTAAACGTTTTGCCCTTTTTGTTAATATTCGAGTGAAATATTTATGACTTAAAACCAAGTTTCCAGGGGCCAGTGCACATGCATGTAGCTGTGTATATTTATACTCGTGTATGTATATGTGCGTGCTGTTAGCTTTCTGTGTGTTTCTGGCCATCTGGTGAGTCGCTGCTGATCTACGGCCTCAGGAGGGTAAATAAACACTCCTCCAGCCACAAGTAGGGTGGCCCCCCTGTGTCATGTTATCTTTACGGTGTAAAACTGTTTAAAACAATGTTTAAATGACCAGGGTTTAATATTTCTAGCCCTGCTAAAGGTTTACATTTCAAGCACTTAATGTACTTTTAATTTGGGCTTTATTTGTTTAGTGTGTCCTCAGCAAATGGCCGGTGACCTCCCCCGCACGAGGGCCGACACTCTTTTCTACTTTCCCTCTATTTTGCCACATGTTGCATGGACACTACATCCTGATATACACCTGAACATCAGCAGGAGAGGACTCTTTAAAGTAGAGACACTACATCCTGATATACACCTGAACATCAGCAGGAGAGGACTCTTTAAAGTAGAGACACTACATACTGATATACACCTGAACATCAGGAGGAGAGGACTCTTTAAAGTAGAGACACTACATACTGATATACATCTGAACATCAGCAGGAGAGGACTCTTTAAAGTAGAGACACTACATACTGATATACACCTGAACATCAGCAGGAGAGGACTCTTTAAAGTAGAGACACTACATACTGATATACACCTGAACATCAGCAGGAGAGAACTCTTTAAAGTAGAGACACTACATACTGATATACACCTGAACATCAGGAGGAGAGGACTCTTTAAAGTAGAGACACTACATACTGATATACATCTGAACATCAGCAGGAGAGGACTCTTTAAAGTAGAGACACTACATACTGATATACACCTGAACATCAGGAGGAGAGGACTCTTTAAAGTAGAGACACTACATACTGATATACATCTGAACATCAGCAGGAGAGGACTCTTTAAAGTAGAGACACTACATACTGATATACACCTGAACATCAGCAGGAGAGGACTCTTTAAAGTAGAGACACTACATACTGATATACACCTGAACATCAGCAGGAGAGAACTCTTTAAAGTAGAGACACTACATACTGATATACACCTGAACATCAGCAGGAGAGGACTCTTTAAAGTAGAGACACTACATACTGATATACACCTGAACATCAGCAGGAGAGGACTCTTTAAAGTAGAGACACTACATACTGATATACACCTGAACATCAGCAGGAGAGGACTCTTTAAAGTAGAGACACTACATACTGATATACACCTGAACATCAGGAGGAGAGGACTCTTTAAAGTAGAGACACTACATACTGATATACATCTGAACATCAGCAGGAGAGGACTCTTTAAAGTAGAGACACTACATACTGATATACACCTGAACATCAGCAGGAGAGGACTCTTTAAAGTAGAGACACTACATACTGATATACACCTGAACATCAGCAGGAGAGAACTCTTTAAAGTAGAGACACTACATACTGATATACACCTGAACATCAGCAGGAGAGGACTCTTTAAAGTAGAGACACTACATACTGATATACACCTGAACATCAGCAGGAGAGGACTCTTTAAAGTAGAGACACTACATACTGATATACACCTGAACATCAGCAGGAGAGGACTCTTTAAAGTAGAGACACTACATACTGATATACACCTGAACATCAGCAGGAGAGGACTCTTTAAAGTAGAGACACTACATACTGATATACACCTGATCATCAGCAGGAGAGGACTCTTTAAAGTAGAGACACTACATACTGATATACCCCTGAACATCAGCAGGAGAGGACTCTTTAAAGTAGAGACACTACGTACTGATATACACCTGATCATCAGCAGGAGAGGACTCTTTAAAGTAGAGACACTACATACTGATATACCCCTGATCATCAGCAGGAGAGGACTCTTTAAAGTAGAGACACTACATACTGATATACACCTGATCATCAGCAGGAGAGGACTCTTTAAAGTAGAGACACTACATACTGATATACACCTGAACATCAGCAGGAGAGGACTCTTTAAAGTAGAGACACCACATACTGATATACACCTGAACATCAGCAGGAGAGGACTCTTTAAAGTAGAGACACTACATACTGATATACACCTGAACATCAGCAGGAGAGGACTCTTTAAAGTAGAGACACTACATACTGATATACACCTGAACATGAGCAGGAGAGGACTCTTTAAAGTAGAGACACTACATACTGATATACACCTGAACATCAGCAGGAGAGGACTCTTTAAAGTAGAGACACTACATACTGATATACACCTGAACATCAGCAGGAGAGGACTCTTTAAAGTAGAGACACTACATACTGATATACACCTGAGCATCAGCAGGAGAGGACTCTTTAAAGTAGAGACACTACATACTGATATACACCTGGACATCAGCAGGAGAGGACTCTTTAAAGTAGAGACACTACATACTGATATACACCTGAACATCAGCAGGAGAGGACTCTTTAAAGTAGAGACACCACATACTGATATACACCTGAACATCAGCAGGAGAGGACTCTTTAAAGTAGAGTGACTACATACTGATATACACCTGAACATGAGCAGGAGAGGACTCTTTAAAGTAGAGTGACTACATACTGATATACACCTGAACATGAGCAGGAGAGGACTCTTTAAAGTAGAGACACTACATACTGATATACACCTGAACATCAGCAGGAGAGGACTCTTTAAAGTAGAGTGACTACATACTGATATACACCTGAACATCAGCAGGAGAGGACTCTTTAAAGTAGAGACACTACATACTGATATACACCTGAACATCAGCAGGAGAGGACTCTTTAAAGTAGAGACACTACATACTGATATACACCTGAACATGAGCAGGAGAGGACTCTTTAAAGTAGAGACACTACATACTGATATACACCTGAACATCAGCAGGAGAGGACTCTTTAAAGTAGAGACACTACATACTGATATACACCTGAACATCAGCAGGAGAGGACTCTTTAAAGTAGAGACACTACATACTGATATACACCTGAGCATCAGCAGGAGAGGACTCTTTAAAGTAGAGACACTACATACTGATATACACCTGGACATCAGCAGGAGAGGACTCTTTAAAGTAGAGACACTACATACTGATATACACCTGAACATCAGCAGGAGAGGACTCTTTAAAGTAGAGACACTACATACTGATATACACCTGAACATCAGCAGGAGAGGACTCTTTAAAGTAGAGACACTACATACTGATATACACCTGAGCATCAGCAGGAGAGGACTCTTTAAAGTAGAGACACTACATACTGATATACACCTGAACATCAGCAGGAGAGGACTCTTTAAAGTAGAAACACTACATATTGATATACACCTGAACATCAGCAGGAGAGGACTCTTTAAAGTAGAGACACTACATACTGATATACACCTGAACATCAGCAGGAGAGGACTCTTTAAAGTAGAAACACTACATATTGATATACACCTGAACATCAGCAGGAGAGGACTCTTTAAAGTAGAAACACTACATATTGATATACACCTGAACATCAGCAGGAGAGGACTCTTTAAAGTAGAAACACTACATATTGATATACACCTGAACATCAGCAGGAGAGGACTCTTTAAAGTAGAAACACTACATATTGATATACACCTGATCACCAGCAGGAGAGGACTCTTTAATAAATATCCATCCATTGCTGAGAGTGTTTTAAAAATACAAATTCCTCTCAGTTTGAGCCTTAATCAGATCTTTCACAGAGTCAGTGTGTGTGTGTGTGTGTGTGTGTGTGTGTGTGTGTGTGTGTGTGTGTGTGTGTGTGTGTGTGTGTGTGTGTGTGTGTGTGTGGTGTGTGTGTGTGTGTGTGTGTGTGTGTGTGTGTGTGTGTGTGTGTGTGTGTGTGTGTGTGTGTGTGTGTGTGTGTGTGTGTGTGTGTGTGTGTGTGTGTGTGTGTGTGTGTGTGTGTTGTCATTGGTTAGTGTCCTCAGCAGCAGATGCTGGTTAGCAGTCTATGGGCAGTTAAATAGCTGCAGGTTTATAATAAGAGGCCTGTTTACAGTCCGCTGTGGTCTCTGTCTGGTTCTAATGTACTTTTCAATGCAAGCTTAAGTCCTGGATAGGAAGGAGGGGGAATGACGTGAGAAGAAGTGAGCAGTGGGTGTGTGTGTGTGTGTGTGTGTGTGTGTGTGTGTGTGTGTGTGTGTGTGTGTGTGTGTGTGTGTGTGTGTGTGTGTGTGTGTATGTGTGTGTGTGTGTGTGTGTGTGTGTGTGTGTGTGTGTGTATGTGTTTGCATTGGGGTTGCAACTACCTACCACATTTACCACAGCCCAAAGTTATGTTTTCAAAACCCAAAGATATTCAGTTTAAATAACATGACGTTAAAAAACATGGGATTTTCACATCTGAGGATCTTGAAAAAGAAAAAGGTACTTTTCTTCGCAGACCTTTTTATAATTCTATGCCTTTGCAGATATACATGCATGCATTGGTGTAGTTAGATGATTTCCCTTAAGAACATAATAACTAAAGGAAACCGGTAATGACTTTTGTATTTTGCTCTTTTTTAACTCGTCACCTTTGAATTCTCTAGGCTTTTTCTAAATATCTGTTTTCACATTTATTTAAATGTCATTTTTTTGTTGGTCTGTTGCACCATATCTTACACTTTTCATTTTTGTAAAGCACTTTAAAATACCTTTTGGTGAAGTGTGCTTTATAAATAAACGTTCGTACCTTCTTTCATTCTTATTTTCTTAAAGGTTGGAAGGCTTTATTGTCATGTGCACAGTAGCTACAGTGAAGTTATGGGATTCTTAAGGTCATGTGTGTCTGCGAGTGGTTTGTCTCCCTCCCTGTGTTTTCCATCAGCTGTAACTCATACCTCTGTCTGTGTCTCCGTCCTCCCCCACAGACGAGCGAGGGCCCCAGCTGAGACGTCAGAGGTATCACTTCAACGTCAGCTCTCTGGATCGAGACGGGCTCCTGGGGGCCGAGCTACGCATCCTGAGGAAGCGCCTGTCTGACCCCCGCAGGGCCTCCATGGGATCCCAGGCCGCTGAGGGAGGGGGTGGAGGAGCATCGTCCCCGTGCCTGAAGCTGTACACCTGCGCATCAGGTAAACAACCGGCCGTCCTGCTGCAGACCAAGGCCTCGGACGACCTGCTCGGTGGAGGCGCGTTCAGCAGCAAGTGGGAAGTGTTCGACGGCTGGAAAGTCTTCAAGGGCTTCAAAACCCAGCAGAACCAGCACTCCCAGCAGCTGTGCTTTGAACTGGAGGCCCTGGAGCATCGAGGCGGTCGCCCCTTGGACCTGCGCTCGCTCGGATTTGCCCGACCCGGAAGGACCAACAAGGAAAAGGCCTTCTTCCTGGCGTTTGGCAAAAGCAAGAAGCGAGATCTCTTCTACAATGAGATCAAAGCGCGGTCGGGCCACGACAACAAAACCGTCTACGAGTACTTGGTTACGCAGCGGAGAATGCGCCGAGCTCCCGCTTCAAGGGGGGCTAAGAAACCCGTGCAGACCCTCCCTCAGAGCCAGCTGGTGAAGCCGCAGCCGAGGCCGCGATGCCACCGGAGACGACTCCACGTGAACTTTAAAGAGATGGGCTGGGACGACTGGATCATCGCGCCGCTGGAGTACGAGGCCTTTCACTGCGACGGCGTGTGCGACTTCCCCATCCGCTCGCACCTGGAACCCACCAACCACGCCATCATTCAGACCCTCATGAACTCCATGGACCCCGAGTCCACGCCGCCGACCTGCTGCGTCCCGACACGACTCAGCCCGATCAGCATACTCTACATCGACTCGGCTAATAACGTTGTCTACAAACAGTACGAGGACATGGTGGTGGAGACGTGTGGCTGCAGGTAGCAAAGACTTTGGAGGATGATAGATTGGTCTGATCGTAAGTTGGACTATAAACACTGAGAAAACACTTTTCTTATGACCAATTCTCTGCTATGCAACAGACATAACTCAGACTCAAGTGGACTATCAGACTGCATACCAAAGACAGCTCAGACTGAACAGTGAGAGATGAACTCCTGGAGGTGATGCTCTTTAACACCCATCCAATACAACTTGTGTACTTTTGTTGCATCTGAGAGACGCCAAAAACAACCGTAGACACTTTTTGGATTTGCTCTCATATTGGGCTCCAACTGCTTTTGTTGTTCAGATTTATATCTATGTTCTGATTGGTGTACAAAGTCTGCGTGTAACGGAAATGCTATTGAAATATGAGTTATACTTAGAAATGCCCTTTCTTCCAGCACTTATTTGCCAGTGTGCCTTTTTCCCATTCACATGAACAATGAGGAGTATTTTTATGTGTCTTATCCGAGACTTTTTCTACGAAGCATGTAAAGAATTTCTGATGTATAAATACAGGCCAGTGATGAAGTGCTAATCTGACCTGCTCCAAATGTGGGAAAGTTGCATAAACTACTCTTCAATAAAAAATGTCTAATTGACTGAGCTCCAAACTCCTATCAGTTTGAACCTCTGCCCCCCCCAAAGACTCTGTAGACTAAACTATCAAAGGAATTCGTAAGATTTCCAGATGCCAAATTAACCCGAAGATGGCTGTGTTTGGTTTCAAGTGTGTTCGAGGTTGGGTTCACATCATTGGTTGAAGAAGTTAGGCGATGAAAAAGGGTTATGAGAAGAGGTAACATTTATTTCCCAATCACTGTTTGTTAATTAAAGGTGGGGTAGGTACGTTTGAGAAACCGGCTCGAGATCGCTAGAATTTGAAAATACACAGCCGGAGAAAATCTGCCACTTCCTTACAGAGCCCCTCCTCCAACACACACGAACGCGCACATGACCAATGAGGGCACGAGATAAGTTTGTGCCCCGATGGCAGGCTGACAGGCAGGTAGGCCATCCAGTTATTTTAGCCGGGCCGGCTTACAGAAGAAGTTATTTTTTCTCAGTCTGAGACGTCTTTTTATAACTCAAGGCCAAACCCTGGGATGAATATCCATGTTATCGTGTTGTTCATTTGTGTATGTTAAACTTGAAAGATATCTGAATAATTTGCTCAGCTTCTCAGGGGATTATTACTAAACCAAAATAAAAAATAAAAATTATTAAATGGACTAAATACAAGTTTGATCAGATGATGGCAGAGGATAAAAAGTCCCCACAGTTATTCAAATTCACGAATGTTTGAACCAAATTTCCAACAATCCAACCAATAGTGGATGTCAATCAAAGTGTAGGAGAGAAACTCTGGAGGGAACACAGAGATGTTAACCTCTGCAGACCATTTACATGCACTAAAACCTATATAACACACTACAGGAGAGGGGACACCATAACTATCAGAATACAGCCTCTTTAAAATGAATTGTATTTTACTTTGAGTCATTGTTGAACGAAGTATTTGGATCCTTTACTTAAAGGGGACCTGTCATGCAAAATGCACTTGTGTACGTCTTTTCTACATGAATATGTGTCCCCGGTGTTCCAGGGAACTAGCCAAGTGTCAGAAAACACAACCCTCTCTATTTTCCTCCATACCCAAATCTCTAAAAAAGGGGCTGCAACGGATCTGATAAAAACTGATCCAGATTTGAACACTGTCCTGACGTCAGGACGGTGGCGCTACGGCTATTGGGCCAACTCCACCAATCAGGAGGAGACAGCCACGGCCATTGCCGTTCGAAAGCGCTGGAGACGCTGTAGTACATATGCCAGGCCAGTAGGTGGTGCTGTTCTCACTGAATCTGCCCTTGCTAAAACAGATCTAAAAAATGTCAAATTGAGCAAAATGAGGCATGGCTAAAATGCATGATCTGTTTGGTATTTTGAAAAGAAAAAAGTATAAATATGCCTTATATAGGTATGGTCCTACACTATATTATTCAAATATAGCATGATAGGTCCACTTTAAGCTAAACCCAACGTGTTTCCTAAATTATTCTCAAAAGATAAAAGCTGCAAAAACCTGCAAGAGCTGCCAACTTGGTTTTCATTTACATCACATTTTTCAGTATTTTAGATTTAAAATAAAGGTAAAAAAACATAATTGGCATGTTTCAACAGTCTTTATAAATCCTCAGAGAACTTTTGTGGTCCCAGAAAGTCGTGAAGCCTCTGCTACTGCAGGCCTGTAAACAGAGCTGTAACACGTTAAAGTGAGAGTGTTGTTAAACGAACATTGGGAAACAGTATTCCCCACAGAGAGAGCGCCTGGCTTTAATTATCACACATTTCCACACATTAGCCCATCTGAGATACAGGCAGTGGATTTTACAAACAGCTGATTTAAATCTCCACGTATGATTTATGGAGACTGATATTTCCTATGATTTATGACGGTGTAAACGTGTGCTGGCTCGACAGGAAATGAAACATAATTGAGAAATTGACTTTACGGTATGCTTTCTTGTAAGTTTTTTCCTCCGATCATGGGATGGGATTGTTTAAGGAGAAAAACAATGGCTTGGAAGTCGGCCTCCTGTTGGGTATAAGGTTACTGCTCTGTGAGGAAAACCTCATATCTTCAGTCTAACGGTTTCAGCTCTCACTCAACATTTACATACAGATCTTATGCACCAATACCTTCTGAAAGACACTTTGAAACCAACCATTAACTAGTTTGTTAAGGTATTATCTGTTGTATCCTTCCTATACAACTATGATCTACGAACTTAGATGATGTCTTCTTGACTTGACATGACTCTGTTCAACAATTCCTCCAAATAAAACACACATTTTACAAACATTTTAAAGCATTCTACGATAATTACCTAAAAGGTAGGAATCCTTAAGATTTCAATGTGGGATGATTTAGTGAAAACATCAGTTATTGTGTTTAGATTTCAGCAGCCTGGAGTCTTGTTGATACTTAGCTTCAAGTTTCCATAATGGTGTTTGCATGATTTTGTGAGTGTACACAAACTGTGAATCTGGGAATGTTGTCACAGACCATTGCATTTGATCAAAATATAAATATTGCAATACTTTTATCTTTGATTCATAGGCTCAGTCATCAATAGCTGCGTTCACACCGCAGTACTTTTCCCACTTAAGTTCCGAAATGTCGCGTTCACACCAAAAAGAGCCGGAACTCAAATGAGTTCATGAGAACCTTTTCACCCCCTTTTCAGTCCCTGCTAGAGAGCAGGTACTTTCGTGGGAGAAAATGGTTCCTATGTCTGATTGGCTGGGCGGATTGCAAACCACGCCCCGTACAACTCCAAAAACGTTTTGTGAAGCCGCCATTTTATTATCCTCGCATTAGCATTATTAGCATTAGCATTAGCCCAGCGCACAAACGCAGAGAGACTAACTTATGGCAACACAAAAGAAAACATGGGAGCGGTGGAGATGAGGAGGTGTCGGCGTTCTGGTGATTTACTCTGAAGGCTTCAGTAGAAGCTGCTGGGAGTCCCAGCAGCTTCTACTGAAGCCTTCCCCAACTCCGGGGACTTCCGGCCGGGGACTTCGGGTGGCAGTATACGCCGTGAAGTGGTTTGCGGCCTGCCAGTAAACCCAAAGCAGAAGAAGAAGAAGTGACGTCGGCGGCTTCATTTGCCTAATCCTTCCCCAGGAACTTATTCCGGTGTGAACGCGATCTGTACTTAGTTCATGAGAACTAAAGAGTTCTCATGAACTAAGTTCTGATGAACCTTTGTGGGAAAAGTACTGCGGTGTGTAAGCTTCCTCATTCAGAGATAAAGTGAACTAACATATATTTAGTTCAAGGAACATCTTCGAGATTTCCAATTGAACAATTTAAACCTCCAGGATATGCTCTTCACTCTTCATCAGCCAATCAGATCTCTCCCTCGTCACTGGGAAAGGGACCCAGGTACGGCTCAACAAAAACACACCTGTTTGCTATCGTGGCTCCAAAATGGCGGATCGAGCTCCCCGTTGATTTCAGGACATCAGAGAATCTACACATCTTCAGACTGACAACCCACCTGTTTGAACTGCGTTTTGGCAAATACAAATACATCTCTCTTCTGTACGTAGCACTTAATCTGGTATCTCTTTAATTGAAGCTAATGAAGTAGCACTTAATCTGGTTGGTTTCATAGACAGGAAATATACCTCCAGGATTCTTGCTCTTGAGATTCTCTTTTCATGATTGAATGCGCTTTGAATAAAAGCGTCAGCAAAATGAAATGTAATATTTATTGTTTTGAGAAAGCAAGGAAATGCTGTGGGATTGTGAGGGATTCTAAAAGAGGAAAAGTTACCAAAATATTCAACAATAGTTTCTTGAGAAATCTCCGGACCTTGTGGAGCAACAGTTGAATCAATGATTTTTATTTTTTTTACGTCGATCAAAGACAATAAAATATTTTTGGATGAATGGTTTTGAAGGCAATGAAAAATGAACCTGAAGTACTTTTTTGTGTCTGAATGGGCATTATGGAAACGGACTCTATGTTATCCAATAATGCAGTTCCATTGGACCGGTGCCCGCCCGGCCTTTGGCCCGCGGAGCCTATAATCAGATTACTCCGTAGTGAACTCTGCGGTCCGCCTTCTCAAGCCCAGAAATCTGTAGTAAAGCAGAAACATGGATTGTTTACGGGTCTCGGGTTTCCTTGTCGCTGTTTGTGGCCGGGGATTGTGGCAAAGTGTCAGGCCGAATCGGAGTGAACAGGATCAAGAGCCCGGTTGAAGAGCGCTATTGTGTTTCCCCGCTCACAAGTAATCAGAAACATATGCCCACCGCTGAAAAGAGAGGCTTGTTTAACAGGGCTTAACTTCATTGAACATAACTTTAATGGTCGCCGCTATTACACAATTTAACAATGATGTTTCGGGAAGGCTTGCAAAAGCATATTTTGTGTGTGTGTGTGCGTGTGTGGGTGTGTGTGTGTGCGTGTGTGTGTGTGTGTGTGTGTGTGTGTGTGTGTGTGTGTGTGTGTGTGTGTGTGTGTGTGTGTGTGTTTACGTCCCATGAGAGGATCGTACACAGCCGCAGGACTTGTTAGAACTCCAGACTCCAAGGTTAGTTTTTCACATCTCCATCATCAGTCCTCTCCTGCTGATGTTCAGGTGTATATCAGTATGTAGTGTCTCTACTTTAAAGAGTCCTCTCCTGCTGATGTTCAGGTGTATATCAGTATGTAGTGTCTCTACTTTAAAGAGTCCTCTCCTGCTGATGTTCAGGTGTATATCAGTATGTAGTGTCTCTACTTTAAAGAGTCCTCTCCTGCTGATGTTCAGGTGTATATCAGTATGTAGTGTCTCTACTTTAAAGAGTCCTCTCCTGCTGATGTTCAGGTGTATATCAGTATGTAGTGTCTCTACTTTAAAGAGTCCTCTCCTGCTGATGTCCAGGTGTATATCAGTATGTAGTGTCTCTACTTTAAAGAGTCCTCTCCTGATGATGTTCAGGTGTATATCAGTATGTAGTGTATCTACTTTAAAGAGTCCTCTCCTGCTGATGTTCAGGTGTATATCAGTATGTAGTGTCTCTACTTTAAAGAGTCCTCTCCTGCTGATGTTCAGGTGTATATCAGTATGTAGTGTCTCTACTTTAAAGAGTCCTCTCCTGCTGATGTTCAGGTGTATATCAGTATGTAGTGTCTCTACTTTAAAGAGTCCTCTCCTGCTGAAGTTCAGGAGTTTGGAAGTATTATAAAATTGAAAGCGAAGGCAGTGTAACAGCC